ATTGAAACTAACCAAAGCAAACAGTACCATAACATTTGTGGGTTGGCAGACAAGAGACTAGGGCATGGGAAAACATAGACTTGGTATTAGAGATAGAAACAGGATAGACCCCGCGGCGATGGGAACTAGTGGGATGACAGTAGTTTGTATAAGAGACATGGTCCATGGGGCAAAGGCGTGGCCATGACGCTTACTTAGAGGCTTAAGCCTCGAAATAGTCACTAAGACTCAGGATAAGGCCAATAACGCCTCGATTGGCACAGATGGGGTGGCAGGTGCCGAGTGAAATATATGAACCAGGGCGAGGACAGACGGATCTTACGGGGCAAGAGAGAGAGACTGTGATAAGACCTAGGGAAGGAGGACTGTATAACAATATGGCAGACTCTGATCAACATTCTAAGCACAACAATGAAGGGGGATGAGAAGGCCAGCGTGGAGTACGGATGGTTCTCATGAAAGCCGCTCAAAAGGGCACACCGTACCACATCTAATTAGTTATGACAGTGAAGGCATGATAGGAGGATATAGGATATGTGAATAGGCCAGGCCAGAATGGGAGATACCATAAATGTTTAGCACACGTTTGATCAAAGGATCGGCTTCATTTTTCTCTTTGACGAGTAAAAACGGGCTTCTGGAATAAGTATGGAAGGCAAATTGGACATAGCCGATTTGACTGATATTACAATCTTCTTTGGTTGCAACTCAAATCTCGTTAGTTGCTCATTCTTGAGATATTTATTCTTCAAAGGGCCATCGTCGGAATTAAACGATTTCTTTTATTAATCCTGACAGTTCCATCAGAAATAGCTTTCCCAATTGATGAGACAAAAACTTGATTGATTTTCGTCCTTTAATTTGGCATTAGACAATTGAATGGAGCTATGATGCCCAAATTAACCGCTCTACCTTATAAGTGCAGCTTGCCGGTCGTCACTAAGTGCCAATATTAGGACGGTTTTGTGGTTCGGAATGTCATAATGTTAATGCGAGAAGAAATTACCTAACGTTTATTAACTGGTTGAGAAGATTATATTGCTTCTAATTTAGAGACAGGCTGGATTTTAACTAACTCATATTATCATCATTTGATACGCATACCTCTTATGACTATTCAGACATGTTTATGTTACTTGTTCTGATTAGATGCATAGGCCCTATAAATCGAAATTAGCTTGTCTTTATTTTAAGCCTTTCCTTGTTTTTGATTAATATTCCAGTTATTATGCCTGCGAACAAGCGTTCTCGAATCGTGCGAAAATCCCGCGCAATTGCTTTATCCAAAGAGGAGGAGAAGTACTCGAATACCCCACATACTTTTGTATTTGCTCGTCCCGGTGTAGGTCCTCTGGTGCATCAGCTCTCCCTAGACCTGAGACATATGATGCTGCCATTTACGGCTTCCCGCCTCCAAGTGAGCCGGCGCAATGTCCTCAAGGACTTGATTTCAGTGGCGGGGCCTCTTGGTGTCACACATTTAATCTATCTGACCCATACCAGCCTACGTGGACTATCCAATCGTCGCAAGAGGAAGGCAATTCAAATCCAAATGAAGCCGGAAATGAAGCTGGAAGATAAATTAGATGGTAAAAATGTGGAATACCGGTTAATTGATACTTTAAAAAATGGACAGAAAAACCTTTGGAATTTTCCGAGGCTTCGCTGTTTTTACATTATGGCCAAAAGGCGTCTCTTCACCTCTTTATGCTGTTCTTTATAGTTTTCAATTGAGTGCAGGCTTGATCCCCCTTAGGCTTCATTAGTACATCAAACTGATTTTAACATTCAGGGTTTACATGTCTTGAGGCAGAATTTCTACTCATTTAACCACTAGATCTTTGCGATAGCTTTACTTTTGTTTAGTATTTCTCAGCATTCCGACCACATTTGGATTAATATTCATAAATATGAATTTCGGTTCTGGCATTATCAAGTACCCTGTTTCCCTTTATTTCATATCCCCTTCGTATCATGAGGCTCTTACCCCTTTTTTTCAGCCGATGAGCTCAGACACAAATCGAGTGAAAGAAACGAACACCCAACCATTAACCCTAACTCTACCAGTTCAGGCGGCGGTGGTGTTTTTCTTCACATTGTTCGCCTCCCTCGTGGCCCACGTCTTACCTTTCGTGTACTCGGCTACAGCCTGCGTCGAGATGTTCAAACCTTGGTTAGGCGTGTATTCCAGAACAGCCAATATGCTAATCCTCCACTTCTTGCTATGACCGGCTTCACGACGCCATATCCGAACAAAAGATCTTCAGGCGAACCTGATGGAGTTAAGGCTGAAGAAATGGATGAGGGGGGGACAAGCAAGGAAGAAGAAAATGCTCAAAGGAAAGCCTCAATTGCCCCTCCGCCTCCGCACCTGCGTCTTCTAGTTGACATATTTCAGAATATGCTACCCTCACTGAATGTCGAGAAGGTGATTTTTAAAATAATTTTATCTATTCTTTTTACTTGGATATTCTCTCTTTGCTGTCTTTGTTCTATATTTACTATTTATATCCTAATAGCTCACCGCTTTGTATTTTAAAAATATATGTAATGCTTTACCCTTTCGCATAAAGAGGGCAATTTAACTTTAGTAAATATCAAGATATTTGCTGATATTCACCCATATAATTATTGTGTGCATTCTGGGTTCAGCGTACTATAGTATATAGTCTTGTAAGTGCATTGAGAGAAAACAAGTCTCAATATTTTACCTAAATATTGACAACTACTATATAGTGCTTTCAATATTCTGCTTTATCTATATTCATTGATCTGGCTAGAAATTGCTTAAGTTCTGCATGAAAGCATTCTTTTCACATGTTCTGATATCGCTCAATTAGCATATTCCATTTTTTTAAATCAAGGTCAAATTGAGCTCTGTCCGTCGAGTCTTACTATTGAGCCGCGAAATTGACTATTTTGGACTTGGCAAGACAAATGGGGCCGAAGGAAATTGTAGTCAAGTAAATGATTACATTCATCTCAGACATTATCACATCAAAACAGAGAATCGAGCCATAAGCCGGCCATTACGCCGGCTTGGATTGGGAGGTGCCTCGTTGAAAAAGCGTTCATTTGCAGCCTCTTTTGTGGATTCATCCGATCGATTGAGTGGATCCGCTGACATTAATGGAGAAACCAATAAAATTGCGTCTAGACGTTTTGGAGTGGGACCTGGGGGCAAGGGAAAGGGAAGCTTTGTTCCAGATTTGTCCAAGTATTCAAATTTTGAGGAGTTCTTAATGCGGTCAGTCTTGTTCCGATGAGTAATTTTTAGCGTCAATTATTTGTTTATGGTATGCTATTTAGTTACTAACTTTGATAATTAAGACAAATAAATGCCCGGGTGCATTTTGTGCCTTAGGTTTATTTTTCTGTTCTCTTTTAGTACAATATCCCTAACGTAGACAAGCGACCACTGTCCACCAAATGGGGGCTTTATTAGTCGCTATGTCGCTACATGACATGGGTTAGAGAAGCTCAAAAGCGTTAATCGTCCTATCTATTGTGTAGGTTATGAAAATCATATTGATTCAGCAACCCCTTTGGATTTTAAAATGCATATATTTGACTTCTCTTTCCTAAACGTTATTCGACTCCCCACATTTCCGTCATCCTTCGAAGTTAAACTAGCCAAAATGTTGATTCTGACCCTTTTTTCTATATAATGTGTAAGTTGAAGATAGTAGTAGTCTAGGCGCCATACCTATAGTTGCATTCTTCTCGCAAGCCGTGTAAAATTCATTATTGATGGACTGATGAAGATTCTTCTCCTTTTAAAGTAGCTTGCTGATATCCTCATAAATTTGGTTGGATAGAATTCTCGGATTGCCTTGGATTATGTGAATACTTCCTAAGCTCACTGCTCTGCGACTCTGATAAACACCTCTAAGCTTTTTGTCTGTCTTGTTACATGACATCATCAAAACAATAACTAATAGTTTACTAACGCGGCCTCTTTACAGGAGCGCAGCGAAATATTGTAAAATCTTCAATTTGAGAAAATGTGCAGTGATTTACAGGCTCATCTATCACATTAATTATTAAATATTAATGTAATGTTAATAAAGTAAAAAAATAATGAAGATACACGAGTTTTATTTATTTGTATCTCTTACTTACGAATAGTCATACTTTGGGTAGGGCGCAATGGAAAAATATTGATTGAAAAATAGCGTCGCGACTGAAAAGTTTGGGAACCACTGTACTAAACCAAGTATATTATATACTTTACTCTCTCAACGTTAACGCTCGTCCTGTTGTCTGGTTGCACTCGCTTTGCTTGTATGCACTTTTCAGAAGTGCATCCAGATCTTAGGTCCCTAATCGCACTCAAGAATATATTCAAACCTCTTCTTAGAAGATGATTTATCCTGTCTATTTTCTTCAACTTACATTTCATATTTACTTCTATACATTATAAGATGTATTCACCCAAGTTCATTTAAAGTGATGAAGGACTGGCAGAAGTAGAATTTTCCCACAAATGATGAGTTGAGCTGACGTTTCCATTGAATTTTTACATAGCTTTGCTTTCCAAAAGTTCTCATCCAGGGTGGACTGCAGTTTCGACCTCGCATTGGTCTTATCAACATCCTCAGCGGGAGTCTAACCGCGACAGTTCAGGACGGTAGCTTGACACGCTAATCACTCGGCTACACTGCCACGAGGGGTTAGCGTGTCAAGCTACCGTCCTGCACTGTCTCGGTTAGACTCCCGCTGAGGGTGTTGATAAGACCAATGCGAGGTCGAAACTGCAGTCCACCCTGGATGAGAACAAC